CCCCCCAGCCCCCGACCCGCAGAGGAGGCCGAGCCGTGGGCGGGCGGCAGCGCTGGAGCGCTCCCAGGCACCTCTGCCAAGGCTGTTCTGCCAACCCCGGCAACAGTTTCCAGGGCGATCCGCCGTGTCCCAGGATCCGGCCCCCCAGCACCCCCCTCCTGGCAGCTGCTGGCAACCGGGGCCGGGAGCAGAGACAGCCCCTTTGTGTCCCCGCCGTGGCCCAGAGCTGCACAGACCGGCGTCCCCGGGGCCTGCAGCATGGGGGCTCCCTGGGCCCTGGGGGGGGCATTGGGAGCCCTGGGCCCCTCTACCCCCAGAGGGGCTGAGGAAGCCAGAGGGGGGCTGCGGGCCGGCTCCTAGGAGGACGTGGCGGGGGGTCCCGGAGGGTTGCGAGGCTGCAGGCGACTGCAGGGCCCGGCACCGGGAGCCAGGGACGACTGGGGGCCCCGGCCGGCTCGGGACACGGCAGTGGGGCCCCCCAGCACGGCTGCTTCCCCAAGACGGGCGAGACCGGGCTTGGTCCCCCCAGTGCCACGGGGGTCCCGAAGGCCTTGACGGCACTGCCAAGCCCTAAGCACGGCTCTCCCTCCTCCCGGGGCTTGGCCACATCCTCCGCGCTTTCCTGAGCCTCCCGGGACCGGAGCAGGGGGTGCAACCCCCGGGGCTGGCCGGCGCCGGGCCCTGTGCCAGGGGAGGGGGCAGCGCCCGAGACCTGGCGGGGCGAGGTGTGCGCCAGCCCCGCCGCAGGGGCAGGAGCAGGAGGTCCCGAGCGCAGCACCGAGCCGGGCAGGGGCAGGGGCAGGGGCAGGGTGTAGGGTGTAGGGGAGCCGCCAGACCTCCCAGGGCTGCTCCTGGGAGCCGTCAGCCCCGGGGACGAGGCAACTGGGCGGGCGGCGGAGCAGAGAGCAGGAGCCCCGGCCCCCTCGCCTGCCCTGGGAGCGGTGCTGCTCCGGGCCGGCCCCGAGCCGCCCGGGCCCCGCAGCGCGCACCCCCGCAGGCGCACCTGCATGCAGCCACAGCCAAGCACGCGCGCACACACACGTGCACACAGC